AAATTTAATTTTTTTAACTACTTGTGCGAGTGGGAGGAGCATTAGCAATATTTCATCAATAATATTTTCTAAATACTTTGTTTAACAATTGATCTGTTTTCTCACTAACGGTTTAATGGATTTGTCAAAGATTCTAATTAATAATAATGTTGTCTTTAATTAACAGTATTAAGAGTAGCCACTAGAACGAAGAGGGGTGGGTGGGCGGGGCTATTGCCTGTTTATAAAAGACTCAGTAAGGAGTTAAAGTCTTAGCCCCGCCCACCCAACCGTCCGTTCTATTTTTTTTCTTCTCAACTAAGAAATATGTTTTTTATACAAGAAATTACTTTTTCAGTTCTTTATGTAAAACAGTTACGACTGAGTTACGATTAGCGCTTTTTTATGTTTTTCACATCCTAGGTTTTATTAGTTTCCCTCCCATTCGACAGAAGAATACACTTAGCCCCACCCACCCACCCCGCCTTGTGTTTTAGTGATTTATTGCATCTGGTCGGAATGAGAGGTGGATCTTATACTGAAAAGAAATAAAATCGTTAGAATGAAAGCAGCGTGAGTGAGCAGGTCTGTGATTTTGGCAAATGACAGACCCTCTAAAAAAATAAAAGGTGGGTGGGTGGTGCTAGTGCCTACTATGATAAGACCGATTTGGACAAATAACACCCTCTAAGAAAAAAGAGGGCGGGTGGGTGGTGCTAGTACTTGCCAAAATATGACAAAACAATAGTTAGTAGTCACTAGAATGAAGAGGGGGTCCGTGGGCGGGGCTATTGCGTGTTTATAAAAGACTCAGTAAGGAAAAGTAAAACTTAACCCCACCCACCCACCCGTCCGTTCTCTTTTTTTTTTCTTCTGAAATAAGAAATAACATTTTTTATACAAGAAATTACTTTTTTACTTTTTATATAAGAAGCTTTGTTTAGGTTTTTCCAATCCTAGGTTCTATTATTTTACACTCCCATTCGGCAGAAGATAATACTTACCTCCGCCCACCCACCCCGCCTCGTTCAACAAATTTTGCTTGAAATTGGTAGAACTGTCACCCCACCTTACGTCTTGTTGTCAAAATTGGCATGGTAGTAGAAATATTAGAAAACCGTTTTTTATTAAATAGGTTCGTTCCTTAATTGTTTTAAAACTTCTTTTTGGTGTCCGTCGACCGACTCTCTACTTTTACAGTTTCTCGACCTTTCATGACCCCTAGAGTCCGTCTGTCTGTCTGTCTGTCTGTCGGTCTGTCTGTTCCTTTGTCCGTCTGTCTGCCGTCCGAGATTTTTATTGTTTATTTGTGTTGTCAAATTTTGTATTTATATTCCGAATATCATGTAGATGGTAAAACGCTAACCAAAACTTTTCTAATCTTCCTCGCCAATAATGTGATGACGTCACTTCAAAATTGTATATAATAAATAGGTTTTAAATTGTATAAAATAACATTGTCCTACACGTGCAGTTTATGAATCCATGTTGAGTTTTTACCCGAAACGTCCAGATTTTTGGAAAAAAATAAAAATTTTGCAATTTAATTTTGAATCTGCAAAACCGAATCCTTTGAAATCTTGCACATGTTTTAGAGTTATGATAAGCATGATAAATTAAAAAAAAATATATTTACTTATCCCTTCCAAGAAAGTGATGACGTCAGCTCAAAATTTTGCCGAGGAAGTCTTATTTAAAATGTTGAAAATGTGATGAGTCTGTACTTGTGATTTATTATTCCATTAATATTCTTTGAATTTGCTTATACAGGGTAACTGAAAAAAGTTAATGAATACGTGAATTTATTTTATCGATTTAATTAGGAACTAGAAAACCGAATGCTTTGAAATCTTGGAGATGTTTCAAAATTATCATAAGCATGGTAAATTTGTATTTGCTCATCCCCCTTAAAAAGTTGATTCCGTCACCTCAAAATTTTGCTGAACAAATTCTATCTTAAATGTGCAAGGCGTCTCTTATGATTACTGCATTAATATTTTTTAGATTTGTTTATACAGGGTGTCTCAAAAAATTAATGACTGAGTCAATTTATTTTATTGATTAAATCAAGAATGGCAAAACTGAATACTTTGAAATCTTGCAGACGTTTTAAAGTCATTGTAAGCATGGTAAATTGTTAATCAAAATAAATCTGTTTATTCCCCCAAAAAATTGGTGACGTTATCTCAAAATTTTGCCGAATAAATTCCACCCAAAATGTGCAAAATATGATGATTCATCATTGCATTCATATTTTTTATTGATCATGTTATGAACGAGTATTAACTTACAATCAGGAAGTAAAAAAGTAACAGCAATGACAAAGTGATAAATGACAAAAACAGATTTTAAAAATTACGCTACGATATGAACAAGATCCATTTTGCAAATGGAGGGAACCAAGGCCTTCCAGCAGAATATACATTATTCCATGCATCACATACTATAAAATTATCAGAAACAAAATTTATATTATTTTTTGTAAATACAGGAAAATAATATGGCTAATGAAATGGTTGGAATAAAAATTAAAATTAACAATAATGTAAAAATACCGGAAGCGATATGTGCTTCTGAACGGCTTAAATTTGAAAATGTTGGGACTACAGAACCTTTAGTACATCTGGTGCAATGAGTGAGACCAGACACCAGATTACTTGGAATGCTTTTGTGGTTACATAACCACAGTTCTGTGATAGAAAATTTAGAATTCACTTATTCACCACTTCCTTATGTCTTAAAGGCGTTTTCTGAATATGCATTGTATATCAACTATGACCAGAGGCGGATTTAACGACGGGCGCACCCTGGAACCCATAAAACCCCAACTTTACACTTTTTTCTAATAACACCAAATTTAGCTTCTGTGTGAAACTTTTACTATGTACAAGTTTACAATGGGCGATCAAAACTATTTTACAATGGTCACAAAGTAAATTACGCAGAAAGTCGAAAAAACTGATGATTTGTTTTTCATAGGATTTTTGTCACGTCAGATGACTATCAATTTGAAAGTTTAAACTATCAAAGACAAACTTTTAAAAATCCATAGTTGTCTTTGATTGTGCTTTTTAGTATAAAGATGACATGAACAATTTTAAAGATAAGTTGGAACATTGTTAATCTTTTTAGATTATCAGTTTTATATAAATACATATAAAAAAACAGTGATTTAGTTAAAATTATTGAAAGTGATGAAAAAGTTAATAACTTTGCAAAGTGAAACGCAAGAAAAAAATTTAATTATTTCAAATTTAAAATTTTAACTTCAGTTAAAACTTTTTATTCAAATATCATGTATTTAAAGATATGATTAATGCACGTATTTTAATTTTACATATATCTGACTATATATATAATATTTAACGAGGATTTGTAATACCCAAAATGTGGCTACTTAAGAAATTATCAGTACCTACCTCTATTACTTTTATAAATAACGATTTCATACTAGTAAATATATTAATGTAAATACCTCTGAGAACAGGAAACACGTAATATGAAAATTTCTGCAAGCTGAGTTGAGCAGTAAAATTACTGCGAAGTTTAGCGAAACTTTTTGTAATGTCAGAAAAAAAAATCAATATTGGGAAAAGTTAAAGGAAACAAGAATATAAGAATTTACAGAAAATCTGTACCTAAATCTGAAATGAAAAGAACCTCTGGAAATTCAAATATTAATACTACCTACAACAAAAATACACCATGAAATTTTAAATCTGAACAGCTTTGAATTATTCCTTAAAACAGAACCATCACCATCTGTTTAATTAACCATCAGGCCTCATAAAGGGCAATATTTAAGTCGAGAGACCTAGTAAAGTCATAACACTCATTTTAACAAAGTTGTCAACTCTCAAATAAAGAACATTCAATTCTACGAATCACAAAAGTATAACTACCACTCCTTTTTTAGTTATTGGTTTACACTCTGGTGACGAATAAAAATGATTTCAAAACAGTTGATGGAACAGAGAATTATAAATTGCTTTAAGGGACACAGGAACTGATTAAAGAAACACGTCAAGAAACAAATTATTAAGGCAGAATCGGACGAGGCAATGACAAGAATTCAAAGAGAACTGACCTTAAAAAACTGAACATAAATATCTGGGATATGCAGTATAATTAGAACAAGAAATAATCCCTATAACCAAATAAAGAAGGTTATCTGGAATTTCTTAAACCGGCTGGAACTGTCAAGGATTGTTGAACTAAAAAATATTTGTATTTTGTTTTTACACTTAACTTAAGTAAGCAATTATATGTTAGGAAACAGAGACCTGGGATATTTTGCGTTTGATTGCCTTGTTGAGGCGGAAGGCAATAGTGTAAGCGCGTGCCATCTATGTAACGCATAACTGAAATCAAATCAGACAAAAACAACATTTAAAACAACAATCAGACCTGCGGTGAGAACGGAATGCCCGACCGATCGTGACCAACTAGGTACTACTATTATTGCTGAAGGGAAAGTAATGAACAATACCGTAACAAACTTGGAGCATATTTCCTAGTAATACTTGAGAAGAATTTCATTTATAATTGCCATCCGATTTGTAGTTCAATGAAGAGATTGGTTATAAAGAAAATTTATACTGCGACCTTTCAGGAAAACGCTTTCAAGATTGAAAGTCAACCCACATGAAAAAGTTACAGTGATAGAGAATATGTTGTGTTCCGGTTAAATGGTTTTTATAATCCATTGTTTTCTTGATCGTTTAGATTTTATGACGTTTCGTGACCCTGAAGGTCGCAACACCTGGCTAATGCAACTGTGCTTGGTAAGAATGCCAATTCAATTACACGTTGGTAGATCGATCACGTGTTCGTCGTTGTATAGAGCTTTTTATTACTGCAGAAGTGCTCGGATCTTTGTGGTGGACGTTTTGTTTCTTTGAGAAGAAGGCAACCACTTCATTTGGAATATATTCAAAGCAGTGAGGTCAGTGGGTCTCTTGCATGCGAAGGCCACCTTTTCATGTATGCAGGAACGGAACAGGACGAATAAAATGCCGAGGTACACTAACAAATAGAAGCTTTATTTAAAGGGCTCCTTATATACTTTAATCTTTTCAACAGATTTACAACTTTATGCTACGGCGGCCAAACACTGTTGGGTTGAGGTGGCTTTGACAGACAAATATTTTATTTAATTACAGAATCCTCAACCGAACATTATTTAGCACATTATATAATATTTAAATAAAAAATATTTTTTGAGATCATACTTTAATAGATCACAGGTGTTATAAATAATATATCTATTTTTATTATCTCAAAATAGTTTCATCTTTTACAAAAAGCAGAATTGAGATCTTGCAACTCTGTTTGTCTCAAAATAGCTTCCCCTGAATTTAAAATAAAGCAAAAAATCAAGTACTGCTTTCCTACACCTGAATCTCCAAATTCTTTATTTGTTGACAAACGGGCAAAGCTGCCAAAAATTAATATTCTGCAAAAATTGCCAAAAATATTTTGTACTTAATTTTTTCTTTGGATTACAGTTACTCATTCCAATGATAGTACTTCTTAAATGAACCAAGTGAGAAACAATATTCCCAACTTCCCATTTTCTTACTTAAATTATTTTTTCACAATCTTGTACCAATTAATTCAACTCATATTTTACACGGACTATACTGGTCATACCAGCAAGCCAACCTTGAAACCAGAAAATTTATAAAACATGTTTACAGCACTATCGACATACGGTTTTTCTAACACAAATCTCAAATTTAGAAAAAAGATTTAGTTATATTTAGTCAACAAATTAAAAATTAAATTGCACTAGTTTATTGACTAAATAACCCGTATTCTAAGTACAAATAGATCAACAAAAATTGGAATTTCTTGTTAATTTAATTGTACGCTCTAATTCCGTGTTGACATAACTTACTATAACGAAACTTTTACATTGTATATACAGTATGTTCACATAGATAGTGCAGAAAAACCTTTATAAACTCCTTCACCTTATTACGTATAAGCATACAATGAGTCACCATACATAACTCATGAAAAGCCAACAAAACCAAAATATTTTAGAGATCAAAAGAAAGAAAAAAATCAACTTTACAAAATAAATACAAACAAAAATAATAATTCACTGTACAATATCTAAGTTAATTTTTAAAACAACTTGTACTTAAATAAAATTTCGAGATCGAAAATTTGTAAAGAGAAGTGGGGATGAGGCACAGAATTATTTTAACTTGAACAATATTCGGTCAGCTTCGGTATTTTCTTCGGCCTTTCTGCAGGTGAGTCCTTCAAGCATACCACCGGTCGTTTCGATTTGACCATGTAATCTGTAAACAAAAAAAACATCTTGTTAGTTCGTTATCACATCACGAACAAAGTACAAATAAATAAAATTAAATCGGCAATAAAAAAATTAACATTCGCGGATAAGCTTATTCCCGCCAAATTTAAGCGATTGTTAGTGAACCCACTGTATTACGATGTTGTCTGTCACAACGATAAAAAAAAACAATCGCGTTGGAACCGTGATAAGTGACACTAGCGGATGCTGTACTATATTCCACTACGCAATAACATGATGTAGTAGTGATACACAACCCAAGGTTACTTTTTATCACTGTTAAAATGTACCACATAGCGCTTAATTCGTCGACCTTCATTAGGCGAAACTGGGGCAACAAATTACGCACATTAAACTGTTTGTTTTGCTTTGAGCTCATGGGAACGTTGCCGGAGCTGGAATGGACCGAAAAAATACGAGCGAAATATGCCTGTCGTAGTCGAGACCACTAAAAATCGCGAGAAAATCGAGCTTCTGGTAGCTGTTATGGATTGGTTTCTGGTTTAGCAGCGAATAATTACGAGATATGACTTCTATTCAAGCTTCGCACACGTGTTCACAGAAAGCAAGCGTCAATCAATTGGTATTCATGTCGCGGCACGCCTCGATCTATCTCGCTTCGTTCGAAGACAATTTCATATACCGCAGATGTTCAATCCAACGCTTTTGGGGTCAATTAATATCTATCAAGAGTTCAAATCTGAAGCATAAAAACACATCAATTTCGCGCTGTTTGCGTTACTTCGAACGCAACGATACCAATTCTCCTGATAAGTTTGGCAGAAACGTAAAATTGAAACCTGATCGATATCCGGGCACAATTTTTTTGTTGATTTATCTCCCCGACGGTAGGCCTGACGAAAAATTTGTAAGGAGCTTTTTTGTAAACGACGTAATTATGTACAACTTTTACTAACAACTTTTCTGGATAAAATTAATAAAGAAAAAGTTATGAGTGAAAAAATTAAAAATTTAGGGGACGAATACCTTTTGTGGTATTTTCGGTCCTAGACGAATTTACCATTGGATTTCACATTAATGTTTTAAAATGGGGTTGGGAGGGTGAAATGACAGTTGACAGAACTTCCCTCGCCCGTGAAGTATGGTCGAATAAATGTATGCGAAATGCAAACTATAATACCCCAGTCCCGAAAACTCAGTTCTCGATATACCCACAAAGAAAATGCACGGTTGCTTATTTTCGAAGGTAAAATTGAAACCCGATCAAGATGCAAGGGTCCTTATCTGACGGACAATAAAAATATGAATAAAATTATGGCAGCCAGTTTCGATAATCCAAAACTGGTCCACTGCGATGGTCAGTTGTAGAAATCTGCTCCGATTAATTGTGTGTGAGGGATTGTTCCTTTCTACTATTAAGCATGCCCTTTCCGCAAACCTTTATAACTGTCATTTTTGACGAACAACGTCCGTCAACAGTGCAAGAAGAGGGTCGCAGCACCCCTTCCTTTGTCCGAGATGCACCTCGAGCAACGTACCTCGATAAAGGTCACGCCACAAGTTAAAAACCCTCGGTATACCGGAGCAATCATGAATAATAATAATAATAAGCGCACAAAGCCAGTGCGCTACTACCAGCGTAACACGTGTCATACAGCCCAATTACTCGGGCCGTAGTTCTCACGAAAGCCAACGATGGTACCGCGTTCTCATGTGTTTGACCCATTTTACATCCGGGTTGAGGGGATTGGATTACTCGAGTGTACTCCGTCGAAACCGACACTAGAAGAAAAGCGCGTTCGCTTTCGGTTCCTGGTAGAGGCGAAGCCACCACATGCCCATTGTTTTTTGGGAACGCTCTGACGTCACCAACAAAAAGACTTTCCACAGATCAGTGCACTGGAAAATTGCGATCTTTCCGCATAACGGCGCACTCTTCGACGCTCTGCTCTCGAGGCCTGTCTGTCACAGTCCAGTTGAAGAATCGCATCTTTCTAACAGCAATCGACTTCCTTAACCGAGTGTTGTAGGAAATTTTTCTTTGTGCGGATGGAAGCGCGAAGTGAACGACCTGATGTGGCCGTTTGCTTGTAAACACAGAGTGCAGTGTACGCTGATGAGGTTTCTTCGGTGGCCCCCGGCGGACCCCGCTAGATACACTCCTATAATCTGATTTCAGGGAGGGACAGCGGAGCCCCATTATCTATCGGACCCAGGTTAACGCACCGATCAAGGTGAGCCGCCTCTTGTGCGTGTACTACGCATCAACCACGCACGTTTTTTGTTGGAGGCAGAGGGGCAAAAACGTCACTTCCTACCATCCATCCCTAAGAACACGATTCGTGATGAGACTTTAATGAGAGGAATCAGCTCGGTACAAGTTTGACTTGACCAGATCGAGATAATTTCTTTGTCCACCTCGTATTTTCAGGGGTTTTGACACCGCTGAAATTTCGGAAGATTTACCAGAGATTTATGGAAGGCGTCAGGTTTTTACAGACATTTGCATAGAATGGGAAGTTGACAGCAACCAAATCGTCGGCAAATATTTACAACGGTGTTTGGTATGTTCATAAATATTAAAATTAATATTTTTTCCTGCAATCGAATTTTTAGAATGGAAAGATTGGGTGTGAATCGGTGGTATACTTGTTTGTCCAACTGGTTTCTGACGCAAGCGCGTGAATTTTGGCAGCAAAAAATATACAAGCGTCGGTCTCATTTTGCCTAACCAGAAAAGTTATGTAAGATTCAATTTCAAAATTTTGGATACTTAACTAGGTACCTGCAATTTATAGTCATCGAAAAAAATCCAGCTCTTTAGACATTAAACATGTAACGTTTATGATGTAGAAACGACTGTTTTGAACGTTAAAAAAAAATCCATCCAATATACTCACACAACAAGGTTGTTTCAAATTTCGAAAAATTCGGTCAAATGATTATGGATTTTTGAAACTTAAGTCTGTTGTGACTTCAAAATTCATGGTTGCTGTAGCAACGTTGTCGTTTGATAATCATTCAAATTTAGGTCAGTATTGTCGTTTTACAAATTACCTCCCACTGATACAAAAAAATTACATCAACTACTAAAACTGTCTAACGACTTTATGATGTCATTTCTTGAAGTATTTAGGGCGGAGTGGAACTAATGGAAGGTTCGCTGTAAACGGCACTTTTACTATGCAAAAATTTGTAAGAATATTAAAAATAATAATAATAATTAATACAGAAAAACAACACATGTTTAAAAATAATGAACAAGATGCTAGCAAACTCTGCATACAAAAAATCAATGAACTACTTTTTTCAATAAAATTTGATAGTTTTTCATAGTGCTCGTAGAGTCTTCATAAAAATTATTACTAAAAAGATTTACACACACAATTTTTACACCTATTTTGAAAATAGAGGGATCAAACTAGGTTTATGTAGTGCTATTTTTGTAAACAGGACACAAAGTTGTCACAAAATTTATTAATTAAATTATAAAATTATATAAAAATATTTCATTAATGAAAATTAAGCAAACTGCTATACCGGGTGTCTGGAAAATGGCGGATTAACTCTCCGCGACGCTCTTAACAACCAACTGGTGAGTTTGGGAAAAATAGTAAAAAAAAATTCTTTTCCCCATTCTGGAAGAGACTCTTGGGTACCCATGCTGTATTATTTTGGGAGCCCATAGAGATTTTTTTTTGTAAATTATTTAAAACAATTTTGGGGGACTTCGGTGTTCTATTTTGGCAAATTCTAACCTGACCTGTTTTTGATTTAATTTTGAAACCCCGTTTTTTTTTTAATTTAAAACAATCTTAAGGTTCTAGGTATTGCCGTGTGGAAAGAATCTGGAACTAGCCCCGCCCACCCGCCCTTTCTTTTCTTAGAGAGTATCTCAATTGCCAAAATCAGTCTTATCTGGGAAGCTACTAGCCCCGCCCGCCCACCCACCCTCTTTTATCTTAGAGGGTATCTAATTTGCCAAAATCAGTCTTATCTTGGCAGCTACTAACCCCGCCCACCCACCCTCTCTTTTTTTAGAGGGTATGTCATTGCCAAAATCAGTTTTATCTTAGCACGGACTAATGATTAACTTTTACAAAAAACAAAATGATCAAAATTTGGAAACATTACGAGCTTACTTATATGCACAAGGCAGGTATTTTGAACATCTTCTCTTATTTATGAAAAATAAGAGCTTGTTTTATTAATAATAATGGACAACGATTAATGACTACTGGTTGTTATGGTTAATGTCCTAAAAAAATCAATGGTGGATTTTAGTCACCATCGTTACTAAGAAATCAAGAGGTATTCACACATTAGGTGCGCGTACTATTGCTAATTTTACTTTTATAAAATTACGTTTTTTTTTGTAACCTACATCATAAAAGAACTTTTTTTTGAGACTAGGGAAACCCCCGTACATAATGTACATTTTCCAGACACCCGGTATTTTTTTTTTTAATTTATTAAAAATATTTAAGGAATAATATAAAATAAAAAAGCAAATCATTTTTTTGGGTCGTTAATAATTCATATCGTTTCAAAAGACAAAAGTCTTAATAAAATTTACTGGTTGAATGATATCGAATCAAAAAATTGGTCGAAGGTTATTTAGACCTTCGAACTTCCCTCGCCTCTAAAGTACTGTCCAAAAATCCATCTTCTTTGAAAAACATAAAATTAGATTGTGTGATTTTTTTAAACCTTTATACATTAAAAAAATATATCGACCAATAGCAGTATATTGTAAGAACAAAAATCCCATGACGGATTCGAACGCATGAAACTTAGATGCCTCGGGCAAAACCTCAAGGCGGACTCATAAATCACAAGTACAAGAGTATATTATTTTATAAACCTAAAAACCTATTTGTTATGAAGAATTTTGAGGAGACACCATCACAATATGGTGGGAATAATTAGACACATTTTGGTGAGCGTTTACCATCTACCGGATATTCTTAAAATTTAACAACCATCGGTTTGGTAGCTCCGGAAATTATCAGTCTAAAAATTTCC